TCCAAAAATATACCAGTCTGCACCTTACCACAACTGCAATAGAGTAGCACACAAACATCACAAGTGTGCTAACCAATTAAAATTGGCATGTTTGGACTTCGAATTACTACCCTATATTTTTTTGTGGCAAAGCAGTGAAAAAATTACGCACCCAAAGGCAATCCGTGCAGGTACATCTTTTTGTTGAGCATCATCAGTAGACAGGTGCAAAACATCCTCTACCAGGACCCCAGTAGATGAGGTGCCATTAGACAGATACTCAATCCTGTAATGACAATCACGACTTGGTGAAGTACAGCTTTGCCGTTGTGAACAAAACGTGTTGTTGCAAGAAATCCTTTTGCTTGTAGATGAATTCTTAGGGCTGTAGATTTCAAATTCTACTACCTGGTTGATAGAAGAGCTCAAGAGTTAATTGTCAATAAAATCAATACAATAAGAGCATCCTCCCTATGGATCCACGTAGGGACCAAAAGCAATAGCAATGTTAGTCCATCCTTCTAACACTATGCCTGGTAGATAGTTTTAGAAACCGCAAGATGCAAATCGGTATTTTGATGAATAACACTACAAATTAACGACGCAACCAGAAGCGTTCGAGAAAACAATGCTATTTTGTTGCCCAAGAAACATTCACCCTAAAGACACGCCAGTACTCAATCAACTCAACACCGACGATGATAAAGTTACATGCTTGAATCGAGTTTTAGTACTTATTCCCAGAGCAAATTTCACAAGCTAATGGAAATTATCACAAGCCAACATAACCGCGAAGTCAACTCGAAGCAATGACCAGTCAAAGTACTCCAAGAAATCGTGTAAAATTCACAAATCGTGTAAAATTCAAGAAAAGGCAAACAAAAATAATTGTAATTCAGATTCAGTTCACATACATCTCCATTCGAAAACTTGATGCCGTGGACGCACCTGCTGCAATTACATGGCAACCAAAGCAAATCGCTGCCCGTGTCCAACGCCACAAGATATGATGTGGTCGGCGTCCCAACAGATACATTTGCATAATGCAGACTGAAATTTCAACCCAAAAAACAAAAATTCAAACACTTTATGTACAATTTTCTTCTGAGGAATCAAATATATGGGTTTTGTGCAAAGAGGAAAACAAATTTGTGGGTTTTTTTTTTTTTTTTGGTAAAATATTCAGGACCGCAGGAAAAATTCAACAATTTAAATTATAAAAATAAAAAATAAAAATAAAAAAACCATATCAATTTAAACACCAAAAAATATGAACTTTAAGGGGAATAATGGGTGAAAAGTGCTTACTGTCCAAAAGCACCAATCCGATAAGTGATGTTTCCGTATTCAAAAGCAAGCGGCGTCGTTTGATTGTCGGCGGTGGATAGATGGCGGCCGCGAACCAATCGGTCTCGGTGGGCCATAGCAGCGTAGTACCCGGAGCTCCCCTTCTCCGGCAGCTCATCGGAACCCAGAATTGCCTTGACGGGATCCGAGAACCGGTGGTGGATATCGAACCCGTACGACCCGAGTCCGAAACAGGTCCGACAAGCCAAACCCGATACGAAGAAAAACAATAACAGACGAGCTGCGGAGAAGCTGGAAGAAGCTGTGCAAGTCCAGGCCGCCATGGCTGAGACGATTCTAGAGAGAGAAACAGAGGTTTTGGTGAATTGGGTTGGGAGGCATGAGTGGGAAACAGAGACATGTGATGAAATGGGTTTATACTGGGTGGGGCGGCGACGCGTTGACACAGACCCAATGACCCAAGCCGGCAGCTGAGAGGGGAGAGACAGAGACAGAGAGAGACAGAGGCTTGGGTGGTTGTTTAAGTTTGGTCACTGTCTACACGTTGACACAGACCCAATGACCCAAGCCGGCAGCTGAGAGGGGAGAGACGGAGACGGAGACGGAGACAGAGAGAGACAGAGGCTTGGGTGGTTGTTTAAGTTTGGTCACTGTCTACACGTTGACACAGACCCAATGACCCAAGCCGGCAGCTGAGAGGGGAGAGACGGAGACGGAGACGGAGACGGAGACAGAGAGAGACAGAGGCTTGGGTGGTTGTTTAAGTTTGGTCACTGTCAGACGAAATCCCAGGTTTGTGGGGTCCGTTCTTTTACACAAATTCTTGGAAACTTTGGGAAGTTGGGATGATAATATTCGCCATGAATATCCACTTGATTTTCGTAATTATGGATCATGATCCAAGGTATATCTCATTTAATATATTTTTTTTAACAAACGAAATTATTTATAATAAAATGGCACGATGGTGGACTAAGTCTCAGAATGATCTAGAAATAACGTGGCTCAAATTCGTCTATGACGAAAATTGAAGCTAATACATCTAACTTACAAATGAAAAATAATATCACTAGACTGCAACATTAAGTAACTTTATTTAATATACGTAGCACATTTTTATAATGTTGGCAAGAAAAACAGGCAAAAAAAACGAGTTATCAGAGAGTCCATAAAGAGTTTTTCTTTTTTTTAATAGTCTCATTAGTATTTCTCTAATTGCCAAAGCCCTCCCTCCTAAAGATTCTACTTTTCCAAAATTTGGTATTCTCTACCGTGTATTTAGGATGCTTAACCAAGTTAGCTATAGCAATATGCTTCATTTCGTGTATTGAAATTTAAGTTACTTTTCAGTAATTTGGATTAAATTAACATAACATCCGATAAACAAGACGTTTAGATTTTTGCATGTATTTATTGAGTGGACCTTGGGTTTATGCATACCATAAAAATATTAGGAGAAATGCAAATTGTTTGACTAAAATACTTTGACATAACGAATCAAATAAACAAAAGTATGATGGAAAATTATAGAATCATTTCGCACTTCGTTTTCTCGCTCTATACATCTTTTTAATTTTTATTTTTGAATTGAATAAGTTCAAAAGTTCAAGGATTTGAATGATGTCGTTTCATTGAGTCCTAATTGCATTGATTTATTCTAAAGAAAATAAAACGAAGGAACCAAAATTAACAGGTGTGAAAAAAAATGAGTTGGGGAATTAATGAATAACATGAAAGTTGAGGGGCGATTAGACAAGAAGAGAGAAATTTGAGGGTGTGAATGCGAAGGTAAACTGATTAAGAGGTCAGTTGGGTAAAGACAGACATCACATTACCAAAAAGATTAATAATCTTTACTAATTAATAAAACACTCATTCTCAACTAAAATCTTATGAAATTACCAGTTTAACCCTCTAATTAAAACAGAACATTGATAAGAAATATGGGGCAGAAATGTAATTTTATACAACCAAATTTTGCTGTTTTTTTTTTTAAAGCCTCACCTACATGTAATCCTAACATATCTCTAATTAAAATTAAAAATAAAATAAAATAATAAAAAAACTTCTCACTCCCACAATCTTTATCACTCTCTTCCTCTCTCGTTCTATTTCAAAAACAAAAATAAAAAATTTTCTTACACATTTTATGTGTGGCCATATGCTAATAATAGTAATAATAGTATAAAAAGTATAAGCAAAAAGATATTGACTTTGAAGTCATAATTTGAAAGCTCATTTAATCACACGCCATATGAATGCCATGAAAAACGGGGGCAATTAAGTTTTGTAAAGACTCTCGATCGTTAGGAGGTAAGTTTTGTAAAGACTCATTTGCAAAGAGCTTTCATATGAATGCCATGAAAAACGGGGGCAATTAAGCCGCAGAAGGTGCTTGGAACTTTCCTCCTCTAGAATTCTAGCATGCAAGTCGCCAATAAAAAATGACCACATTGACAATTTCACACCAATCTAACAAAGCCAAGAGGATATTTGAGAAAGTAGGAAAAGCATAGCATTGCAAGGCAAATGGCTTTAGACCGACCTTTCACCATCTCCTCAAACGAAATTTCAATTTCATCTGTGTCCAATTGACACCTTCAATTGACACCCCAACCAATATGGATGATACAAAGGACACCTCAACCAAAACATATGGATGATACAAAAAGGAATCAGGTGCATTTTTGCTCATCAGCTTCAAGTGATGGTAATCCTCACAACCTTATTTATTATTATCGAATGAGTTTAAATTTAAAATTTGTGTCTATCCGCTACACGCATTTAGAAATTTGCGCGACAACTATCCAAATCATTTGATGCTTCATCTCACGAATTGGATTTGAACTCATCCAACGACAATAAATAAGGTGGTCAGCACCACCAAGCACTTGAGGGCATTGAACAAAAATATTATCAAAGGAACAAGATAGAAAGATCAAAAGTTATGACTTGCTTTTTCTCAAAAGCTTGAATGGAGACATATGACTCAAATCTTTTACCATCAATCACTCTCCTAATCTTTATTTATCCACCCACTCAAAAATAAAGTTCAAACCAACCATCCATGTGGTAAAAGAAACAATTGATCATACTCATTTGATAAAAGCTTGTTGCCAACATCAGTCAGAATCGAAATTTTCATTCAAAAGTTGCACGTAACGTGCACACACACAATAAAAGATAAAGAGACCTCTTTTTCTTGGTCAAATTTATATGACTCAATTTTTTTCACCACCAATCACTCCTATTATTTGCCCTCGGCCAATTCTTATTCAAAGATAAAGTTTTTATGCGACCAAGTCAACCTACTTAGCGTTATGAAGGTCCATGAGTTGTGCCTCAGTCCAATTATTTTTTATTTATTTTATTAATTACAACCTCTTTTTCTCTGCCCTGGCAATCGGAGCTAATTACCTTTTTTTTTAATGGCATAAGCATGCACGCACAAGATTCCAACAACTGCATCTAAAATAGAGCTTTTCCAATCCACTGGTGCATGATAGACTACGGTGGGACTTTGTCGAAGGAGTTCTTTAGTTCAAATCTCATAAATGATAATTGTTGATAAAATAAGCCGGAGATCCCGTCCTGGGATTTTGGGAACTCTAAATTCACATTCTATCTACATATTGCAATTTTACAAGGTGACTGAAACATGTGCAGTATAACTGTCTATTCAACGAACTGGATCTCTTGAACTCTAAAATATTCAGCTCCAACAATAATGTGCAAATGCCTATGCTACATGAGGAAGGGCTAAACAATATGGGGGGAATCGATCTTGGCATGCTCAAGATTATCCCAATCGTAGCGTAAAGTGGGACAGATTAGAGAGGATTTAAATCTAATATATGGTAAGAGGACATTATCTAAATCGGTTTACACTATGGAAGTGTAACTGACCAGAAAAAAAGACGGCCGCATACCAGCTACAGTAGTAGGAAAAGGAGCATGACAAAATAAATCAGAGAAGAATGGCTATGGTAAGGCAGAGATGCAACTGAAGCCTGTCTATTCCTGGCCTTTTTCGTTGATTCCGGATTAGAATAGTTACCAAGCCCAGCAGCAACAGCTGGAGGCACAGTGCTAGAGTGCGGTTCAGAAGGTAAGTTAGTATGGTCCTCGACGTCGTAACCTGAATTAAGGTCCAAAAATTCGGTTATGCAATAAGGCATTGCGAAAAGCTGAGTGCATAAACGGGATTAACACCTACAGTCAAACTTCTTCCAGCCCAAAACGAATTTTTCTCGGTCAAACACAACATGGTAGCCAGTCATGAAGTTTTCTGCACAAAGAGCAACAACTTAAGCATAAGCCAACATGTAACAGCAAAACAAAAGCCACTAGGACACTTATATTAGAGTGGACTGTTGATCCGAGAGAAAGAAAGTCGCAGTAGCTGATTTGTGCCCAACAACTGAGCAATGGTCAACTAGGAATGAGCTTTCATAGCCAAATTTAAATTTAAAGACTTACTTTCATAGCCAAAAGAATTCAAATGACCTGTAAATTCAAAGACTTACGCCCAATTATATTTAGTTCCGCACTCTTGACAATGGCCAGGCAATATAACAGCTCACTCTGCAAATCATTTGCACGGAAGATAATAACCATTCTCAGGAAACGACAAATAACACCAGGGAAAAAAAAAAAGAACAAAGCAATACCTGAGTGGATATGATAATGATCGGATCATAGACTGCAAACTGGCTTCCACCTTTCATGGTTAAACTGAGACTAGGTATCAAACTAGTATTTGCATCAGGACTGCACAATGAAAGAAAGAACTTCTTGTGAATAATAGAAAAAGAATTTGAAGTTGGAAGTACGGCTAAAAGAAAATACAGAAGAAAAAAAAAAGTTTATGTAAACCTCATATCATAACAATATTCAAATGGGATCCTCGAATCAGGTGGGCGACGCTTATCTCGAGCCTGTGAATTGAACTGCAAAAGTCATAAAGCATCAATTACTTAGTTGTGTTTAAGTACAAATTGATGTTCTATTGTTCAACATACTGATATTAACTAGAAGACTTAATGCTTACACTCTCTGAAAGATTTGAATAAGATGGGTCACCCAAGTATGTGAAAGATGTTCCAGAATCAAAAATAGCTGTGAATTCGATGTCTACAAGATCTGTCCCCAATCGAATTTGAGTTACGGTGATGTTATACGTTGGACTGTGATATGCATCAGAGCATATAAATATTAAAACCTCTTTTCATGAAAATATCTCGTAAAAAATCAATTTCAAGTATCTGAGAAGTTACCACTTACTGTGATGGGTTGTAATTAAAAGGGGTCTCTTCCTGTCCTGGACTCCCCCTGTCACCGAAATTAATTCTCCCAACCCCATCATGTCCGAAACACATGGAAAAGGAATCTGATGTAAAGCCTTCCCGGGATAAAATACTAGGAACAGATATGTTTTGCATACCGAGCCCAAGCAACCCATTAGGAGCAGCAACATCCAGGAAAGAGCCGCTTTGCACCTGCCCACAACTGCACATTCACAATGCATTTTCAGCTGCATACATGAGACTTACAAGAAAGGGAACAGAAAGAAGTCCAAAGATCTCGATGACAGAACTAACCCAAAGGTAATGTATGCATCAACAAGTTTCCGATGATTATCTTCTGTTGTTAAGTGCAGAACATCCTCTACCAGTACCCCAGAGCTAGAAGTTTCAGCTGAGATATAAGAGACCGTGTAAGGGCAATTGTTGAATGTTCCTAGACAGCTATTACGGTGTGCACACAAAGTGCTGTTGCAACTGACTGTTTTGCTTGTTGACGACCCTTCAGGGTCATATTTGCTAACCTCAAAATCCTGCCATAGTAAATGAAACCTAATTACTAAAGTGCTAAAAGGAGAAGTAATAACAAATGAACTCATTAGAAAATTGATATCACAATTCTTGTCCCTCAAGCCCTACATAACAACAACATCTTAGTACTTGAAATCGACATTAAGGCCTACGCCTTTTTGCATTGATTAATTACAAAGTTTCGCATAATCTGCAAAACTTATAATTTGAATTTTCTCTGCCATATCTAGGAAGTACTTGATTAAACAAATAAATACGTAGTATGCACTCGCTAACTATTTGATTAATCTCTTTTTTCCAAATGCCGGTGTGTGACCAGCCCAAATGCAAGTATACAAGTTTCATTCTTTTTTACAAAACTGACACTCTAACCAATAACATTTCAAGAATCCATTGTGGCACCGGCGTTCCTCGGTCTGTTATTGATGGGACACGTATTCCTCAAACTTGCAGCAAAGGACGGGTGCGGTGTTGGATCAACGTCGCGTGTGGCATTGAAGTTGTAAATTCTGTTTTGGAACGATGAGCAGTGGGCGAACCCTAGAGTGTGCCCTCCTGCAGATGCATCCGAAGTTACTCTCCTTCGTTTCTTCTTCGATAACTTGCATGTATAAAATAACGGGTTCTTTGGATATAGACCCTTGAAACTCCTATTTTCCAAATAAAAACCCATCTAAATTTAAACATTCAAATAAAACCCAAATTTCAAATAGTCTACCATGTAGACAAATATATGACCAACTATTACAATACAATTACAACTTATGCCATAGAATCCTAATTTGGTCAATAAATGTTATTACTCATCCTAATTATGATGAGCAATTAAATCCATATGGATATTTTACCTTTCTTGTATCATAAATATTAGCAACATATATAAATTAATTTACCAAATTTAAAAGAGAAAGACAATCTTGTACGGAAAAAATAATATTGTTTGAATTATGTAATTACCTACATACAAATTAATTTACCTACTTATAAAATATTATACTAATAAACCTGCATTTTGAATCATGTAATTACCTACATACAAATATTATACTAATTTACCAACATTTAAATTAATTTACCTACTTATAAAATATTATACTAATTTACCTACATTTAAATTAATTTACCTACTTATTAATATTATACTAATTTACCTACTTATTAATATTATACTAATTTACCTACATTTAAATTAATTTACCTATTCCAAAAAAAAAAAAATTAGTGATACTAGATAATGTTCGAATGTTGTGGGTTTGTACTTGTAGGCAATTAAATAAACTTTTAATCTAATGCACATAAATCATGTAGGTAAATTAGACCATTTTGAAAGTAAACTAGACCCTTTAAATTTTGGTTTGATGTAATAGGTAAATTAGACTATTTTGTAGGTAAGAATTGTGCGGAACATATAGCTTTTGTTTTGTGTATTAGGGATTGGAATATTAGCCGAAGCTGTTTTAGGTTTATTGTTGTGTTGGTAGGTAAATTAACTTATATATGTAATGCACAAAATTATGAAATTAGTATTATTATTTTTCAATTGGCACGTTATAACAATTTGAAAGTTAATACATTGAATATACAATGAATGGCATGAATTATTTTGTAAAATATATAAAATTAATTAAATGGATATAACAAGTAACTGATCCAAAAACCTCATCCAAGTATTAATAGGGGTAGTTTAGGCATTCAAAAAATACACAATTTGAAAAGTCAAACTTAATTAAAGAATTTGTTTAATTGGAGGCTAGTCAATGGGCTTTATTCAAGAAAACAAAAGCAGATGGGTTTTAGTAGAGGAAAATATAGTTTCAAGGGGTAATATCAAATTTTCAGATAAAATAACAGTTGAAATTTTGAGATTAGTTTACCTGAAAGAGCCACCAGGTCATTCAAGGACAGACCTCTCTGAAAGAAGCTCTGCTGCAGTTGAGATATGTTGAAGGTTGGACCCGGCAGTTGCACGCTTTCACTAGCCTTTGATGTTCGTCCATCTTTTCTTCCTTTCGGCACGGCCCAATTCGGACCTCCGGACTGTAGCATTGATAACACTATCAGAAAGTGCAAAAAGAGTATACAGCTATGTTGTTTTACTGTCGGGAAATATGTACAAAGAGAACCGTGAATTATATATGATATAGGATTCATGTGAAAGTGTTTTTAAAATAACTGAAATCATTTTTAAAAAAAATATTTTTAGGTTCCAATATCTAAGTATTTTCTGTAAGAAGCACATAAATACTTAAAGTGCTTTTCCAGGATTCATTTATTATTTTACCAAGGATTATTCCAAAAATATTGTCATAAAAAACGCTTTCAATCATTGTAAAAACACTTCTGAATAACTCTTATTGTCTATATAGTGTGTCTAATAGTTCTGTTTTTGATTAAAAGCTTGTAAGGGGTTCTGTTTCGCATATTATGCAACAGATCTCCCATAGTTTAATAACCAATATAACAGAATTGCCACATGGCATTATCTAGAAGATGGGTTAGTTGATACAGGTAGAAGGGTACTGTTGTAATTAGTCCTTATGGGTATATAAGGATTAATAGGGTTCTCATTTGTGGTAAGAAAGTATTGTAAGAATTTCTGAAAGCATTAATACATTTTCTCTTTCTTCCTTTCTATCTCTCCTCATCTTCTTCTTCGTTTCTGGTATCCATTGTTGTTCACAGCTTCTCTGTGTTAATATGGTATCATCGCCGGTTTAGGCTCGTCGCCACTTTCGGTTCTGGTGAAGACTTCCGCTGGTTTGGGTGCTATCGTGAAGATTGGGTGCTCGAAGATTGGGTGTTTGGTGGTCATCTGGAAAGGCGTTCTTAGGAGATTTGGTGGTGCGTTTTTCAGCGAATCAGGTGCATTTGTTTCTTTCTTGGCGCTGTGATTCAATTTGTTGGAATTTGATTGAAGTTGGGTCAATTTGTTGGAATTCGATTAAAGCGAAGATTTGGGGTTTTTGATAGAATCTTGATGTGTTGATTTCTGTTCTTGTTATTCTATGTGTTTGTTCCTTGGAGTATCATTCTCTAGGACTTGTCGATTTGAAGAAGAAAGTGTCATTCTTTCTATGAATCTTGGAGTTTCAATCTCCTGAGCTGTGTTTGTTCCTTGGAGTATCATTCTCTAGGACTTGTTGGTTTAACCAAGAAAGTGCCATTCTTTCTATGAATCTTGGAGTTTCAATCTCCTGTGCTGTGGTATATTGGAGTATCAATCTCCTGATTTGGTGTCTTTAGTCGAAGTGTGCAATTTGGGTTGTGATTTGGAGTGTCATTCTCCTTACTTGGGTATTGTTTTGTGAATTTTTCGAAGTCAGTTGTGTGTTCCTTGTTTGGTAATTGTTTTGTGGTTTGCTCAGAGTTGTGGTTGATAGAACTCTTTTCAATGGCGTCTTCTTCATTCAAGATTGAGAATTTGTTGGGTATGCTGACTATAAAACTTCGAGATGATAATTTTGCCAAATGGGCTTTTCAGTTTCAGTCGGTTCTTAAAGGGTACAAATTGTTTGGTCATTTTGATGGTACGATTGGTTGTCCATCAAAGTATGCTGTGAGTTCAGAGACTGGTGTTACAAGGGAGATTACCACAGCGTTTCTTGATTGGGAGTCTACTGATATGGCTCTTATTAGTCTGCTACTTGCTACACTAACAGATGAGGCAATGGAGTATGTCTTGGGGTGCAGGACTGCTTTTGAAGCATGGTCAAATCTTGTTGAAAGATATGCTTCTGTTTCGAAGTCTAGGGTTAACCATTTGAAAACAGAGTTGCATACGATTCAGAAGGGGGCAGATAACATTGATAAATACTTGTTGCGTTTGAAGAATATCAGAGATCAGTTAATGGCTGCAGGGGAGACAGTTTCTGACAATGATATTATCATTGCTGGGCTGGCAGGTTTACCTAAGGAATATGGTGTTATTCGCACAATTATCTTGGCACGGGAATCTTCCATTACCTTAAGGGAATTTCGTGCTCAACTACTTGGAACTGAAAAGGAGATTGAAGGGGAAATGAATCTGCTGCCTCAGAATATGGCTGCTCTTTTTGTTCAGGGTTCTCAGTCTGGGCAGAATGCTAGTTTGGGTTCTGTCATGTATGGAGGTGGTTCTTCGAGTGGTGCATCTTCGTCAAATTCTCAACACCATGCTCATATACCTGCTACTACAGCAGGCACTATTATTCAGCAACCACAGGGTTCATTTAATAATGCTCATCAACATGGTGTGGAGTCCCAGATGTTTGGTTCTAATATGTTTCCTCCAGGGCATCATGATCAATCTTGTGGATATGGTTTTGTAGCTCACTCTCATTCTGGTCAGCAGCATGGGTTCAAATCTCAGACCTACAATGGGGGTTACAGGGCTGGAAATGGTGGTCAATTCAGGAATAATAGCAGCAACTATAGAACTGGTAATAATTTCAGAGGACGAGGGTTTTATGGTGGAAATAGTCCTTACTCTTCAGGGACAAGACAAGTTCAGAATGTTACTGGGTCGTGGTCCGGCAATACAGAAGCTAGAACAAATGTTGTAGTTGAGTGTCAAATCTGCAATAAAAGAGGTCATACTGCAGTGAACTGTTTTCACAGAAATACAGGAAATACACCAGCTGGTTTCATTGTGGAGTGTCAGATATGTGGGAAAAGAGGACATTCTGCGCTTGACTGTTTTCATCGGGCCAACTACACATATCAAGGTCAGCCACCTCCAGCCTCACTGTCTGCCATGAATGCACAACAAACATCTCAGGCTCCTCCTCAGGATTTGTGGATTGTGGATTCAGGTGCTTCACACCACATGACTGCAGATATAAATGCATTAAATCAAGTGGCTCCTTATCAAGGGTCTGATAATATAACCATTGGTAATGGTTCAAGTCTACCAATTAAGCATATCGGTTCCTCTGCAATTCATACTTCTGATCATTCTCTTGTTCTCAGTAAAGTTCTTCATGTTCCAAATATTGCCAGAAATCTTCTTTCAGTTAAACAATTGTGTGCAGATAATAATAGTTGGTTTATATGTGATGAGTGTGAGTTCTTTGTGCAGGACAAGAAGACAAGGGAGGTGGTGTATCACGGAAAGAGTAAACCAGAAGAGTTATTTCAGATTCCAGTGGTTAAAGCTTCTAGAGGGCACAAGTTTGTTACAAGAGATCCAGTGGCTTACTTTGGGAAAATGGTGAAATCAGATATTTGGCATCAAAGGTTGGGACACCCTGCACATGATATTGTGGCTGCAATGTTAAGGCAATCTAAGGTTTTACACAAGTTAGATGAGACTTATACTACTTGTATTTCTTGTATTAGGGGTAAAATGTCTAGGATACCTTTTCCTGTTAGAAATGACAGTTGTAGGGTTCCTTTTGAGAAAGTTCATACCGATGTTTGGGGTCCAACACCTGTAAAATCTGTGGAAGGTTTTCGATACTATGTACTTTTCGTAGATGAATATACCAGATTTACTTGGATATTTCCCATGTGCAACAAATCTGATGTGTTTGCAATTTTTCTCAAGTTCTATGCTTTCATTCATACTCAGTTTGGGTTAACAATTAAAGGTTTGCAAACAGATGGTGGAGGTGAATACACTAGCAAGCGGTTTACGTCCTTTTTGGCTGCAAAAGGCATTCTGCAGTTTATTTCTTGTCCTTACACACCTCAACAGAATGGGATTTCTGAGAGGAAACATAGACATGTGGTGGACACTGCTCTCACTTTGTTAAATGCTTCTGGTTTAAGTAGTGAGTTTTGGTACTTTGCTTGTGCTCATGCAGTTTTTCTGATTAATAAAATGCCGTGTAAAACCTTGTCTTTTAGTTCTCCCTATCAGCTACTATACAACAAAGTGCCTGAGGTACAGTCCTTAAGAATTTTTGGAACTGCTGTGTTTCCATGGATCAAGCCGTATAACAATCATAAATTGCAGTTTAAGTCCAAAATGTGTGTTTTCTTAGGCTATGCACTGGGGTATAAGGGAGTGATATGTTATGATCAACAGTCTAAGAAATGCATTATATCACGGCATGTTATTTTTGAAGAGTCAATATTTCCAGCAAGGTTGGGGCCTTCTCACAGTGGTGTGGCATCCGCTGAGACAGTCAATCAAACTCGCTCTGTGGTTATACCATTTCCTATTCCCATGAGGTCTACAAGGGGTCAGTTTGAGCACAGTCAGATACCATTTCCACAGAATCACATTGGTGCAGACTCTTCAGCATCGACATCTAATGGTTCCTACTCTACAACAAGTGATACACCCACTCCACCTCCTTTGCTTCCTGTCCTCGATCCTACTCAACTTCAGGTATTATTACCTTTGTCTGAGCATTCATCTAGCACTGATTCACATGTCTTACCTGTACACCAACCACTTCATCCTCGGATTCAAACTCGATTACAAACAGGTGCTATTTCACGAAAGAATTATGCAGCGTATTTGGCAACTTTCCCTGAGTTAAATTCATTACAAATACTGGAGTCTTGCTCTGATATGTCCTGCTCTGGTTCGATTACTAGTGCATGTCCTGGAGTGTTTTCATTCCTAGCTGATATCACAGAACCTGAAGAACCTAAAACTTTTAGGGCAGCATCGTGTAAATCTGAATGGCAACATGCTATGCAAGAAGAATATAATGCATTAAAGGCTCAAGGTACATGGGTTCTAGTTCCACCTCCTTCTCACAGAACAATTGTAGGTAGCAAATGGGTGTATAAAATAAAGAAACATCCAGATGGAACAATATCAAGGTATAAGGCTCGGTTAGTTGCTCAGGGGTACACTCAAGAACAAGGGCTGGATTACTCAGAGACCTTCAGTCCTGTGGTCCGACACACTACTGTTCGATTAATTCTTGTTTTAGCTGCACAGCTTGGTTGGAATCTGCGACAACTAGATATTAAAAATGCTTTTTTGCATGGTGATCTCGAGGAAGAGGTCTACATGTAGCAACCTCAAGGATTTGTGGATCCTTCCTGTCCAAGTTATGTGTGTAAACTCATTAAATCTCTATATGGCTTGAAACAAGCCCCGAGAGCCTGGAACTCGAAGTTCACGAGTTATCTTCCATCCCTTGGTTTCACAACTTCCTTATCTGATACAAGCTTATTTGTTAAAGTAGATAAAGGGGATATTGTTCTCTTATTGCTCTATGTAGACGATATAATCCTCACTGGTTCCAACCCTACAACAGTTCAAGCAGTGATCAGTGACCTTGCAGAAGTCTTTGATCTCAAAGACATGGGCATATTGTCTTATTTCTTGGGGTTGCAGATTCAGTATAAAGAAGATGGATCATTGTTTATCAGCCAATCGAAATATGCTCAAGATCTCCTCAAGAAGGCAGCAATGGAGACATGTAAGCCTACATCCACACCGTCTAAACCACATGCACAATTACTTGAACAAGAAGGTGCTCTTCTCTCTGACCCACGTCATTATCGAAGTTTGGTAGGGGCTCTTCAATATTTGACCTTTACTCGGCCAGATCTTGCTCAGGCTGTTAACATGGTCTGTCAGTTTATGACTTCTCCGACTGATCTTCATATGCATCTTGTCAAACGCATTTTACGGTACCTGAAAGGAACACTTGAGTATGGTTTGCATTACAAAAAGAGCTTGGATTTCAATTTGCTGGCCTATTCTGATTCCGACTGGGCAGCAGACATAAATACCCGACGTTCAATAACTGGTTTTGTGATTTACTTGGGCGATAATCCCATTTCATGGCAGTCTAAGAAGCAATCCACCGTATCTCGCAGCTCTACTGAGGCTGAATACAAAGCGTTAGCACATTCTGCAGCTGATTTGTTTTGGATTCGATCTCTTCTCAAAGACATGCATCAGCAAATTTTGGTGCCTCCAGTACTTTACTGTGACAATCTGAGTGCTTAAGCTCTAAGCTCCAATCCTGTCTTTCACTCGAAGATCAAACATCTTGATACCGACTATCATTTTGTTCGTGAAAAGGTACAACGGGGTGATTTACTTGTCCAATATATACCTACTGAAGAACAGGTTGCAGATGTATTCACCAAAGGTCTGCATGGTCCTGTGTTTGTAAAGCACTGCCGACGACTTGCTCTTGCTGTTTCAGGTCCAGTTTTAGATCCCGTTTTAGGTGTTTAGCTATTTCAAACTTCACCTGGCAGATCCATGTTCAGTTTGAGGGGGGAGTAATAACCAATATAACAGAATTGCCACATGGCATTATCTAGAAGATGGGTTAGTTGATACAGGTAGAAGGGTACTGTTGTAATTAGTCCTTATGGGTATATAAGGATTAATAGGGTTCTCATTTGTGGTAAGAAAGTATTGTAAGAATTTCTGAAAGCATTAATACATTTTCTCTTTCTTCCTTTCTATCTCTCCTCATCTTCTTCTTCGTTTCTGGTATCCATTATTGTTCACAGCTTCTCTGTGTTAATAGTTTCGACAATCTTACTTGCACAACAGCGTCCCTTGCTGCCAAAGCCAAGATATCAGCACATGAAACGACACCAGGGCAGGAAGCCTCCACTTGTTTCTTTGCATTGTCAATGACATAAAACGCATGCAGAGAAATATTTGGTGGCCCATCTTTCTCTGCTTTGCTGCCTCTGCTGGAGTCCAACAGCACAGATGCATCACAGCCCTGCAAACAAAAACAAACACTTTTGAGTTAACTCAATCAACTAATCAATGTGTTTACGCTTTCGAAACAGCTGGTACCAAAAAATATGTATTTACCCTTAGAAACAGTCGTGGAAGTGCATCCGGAGTAGAGCGGCAGGGACAGTTCTGTCGTTGGCTTTCCCCTTCTTGACAGCATTAGAAACAATTTGCTCGACATTGGGACAGCTCTTGTCGTAGTAATTCAAGCCCAGCGCGTTTGTCACTGCAGAAAATACCGAAAGGACGATGAAGATTGAGCTCAATAATGCAGGATTGAAAGCCATCCTGAGAGATTAGAACAACTTTCTTGCTTAACTCTGCGTAACTTTAAGTGTGGGACATAAAAATGGATTAGGGATGGTATTTATAGAGGGAGAGAGAGAGGGGCTGTTACTGATATGATGGTGGCCCTAAATAATGAATTAGTTAAGTAAGTATGTCTAATTAAGAAGTAATTAAGGAGGCAAAGGCACCTCACTACAAGACAATTGCCATCACATCTTTCTTTTGCACCTTTAAACCTCGACTAAAATGTTCAACGACATCTCAAGTTTGAATCTCTGGTTCCCTACAGATCAAAACATATCGCAAAACATGATTTATGTATTTTTACGAATCAATTACCATCATCTTGTAAAATGAACTCGATAATTTTATTGATTTCAAGGTGTTGATGGTCAAACATGGCACACGATTATTGACTTTTAATGCAAGGAGTTAATTAAGATGTTAAATAATTTACATACATGAAGAAAAAAAAAACCAGAAGATTCTCAAGAACATAAGGAAAGCGGAGATTCCGCAATGCAAAAAATTGTTCCAATCCAACAATTAAAACAAATATTCTCTAATTAAAAAAATGTAACAAAACTCTTCTGCATGGTTTGGTAGGTACTCCTAATCCTATTTATTTCCTTTCTTTAAAGCCTCGTGCATGCATCAGCATGCTACACCGAACTTCTCAATTCATCAACTCATTATTTTTCTTTTGCAACCGCTCGTATCTGCATTCAAACACGTATCACGGGTTTTCGGGTCGATCCAGAATATCTGGTCCGTGCTTCGGTGTCGTTTTAAATAATTTTGCCGATTTAACGGAAAAAAAAAGGAATGCGTGAAGTGGTTAGGGTTGAGACATCAAAGGTCGTCATGTCTGGGAGAGTCAATTAACTTGCGTTCAAAGTCTCCAGCTTCATTAGTTATGTTTGAGACATGATTAACTAACTTCAGTTCATCCCAACAACCTTGTCTCTCAATTCTGTTTAGTTATTCTGAAATAATTCTGGATGATTTAGGTGAGCGTTGGATCACTTAGCTAACCTAATTTTAACAATCTGGGGAATGTTTTTGAATTTTAATCCTTCAAGAAGATTAAAATTTTAAAAAATCCTGGTGTTAGATTGGTTATTGATTTTAGACCCTTAATGTGTACTTAATTCAAATTCATATTATATTTTTGTTTTTATATTTAATAGAATTTTTTTTTGTCAAAGTTTTTATATTTAATAGATAACTTATTTAATGTTATTATATTAAATTTTAAACGTATTATTATACAATTTTATTTAACTTTCTCCAATTAGTGTACCTAAACATCCATATCATAATATATTTTACTAAATTAGTGTACCGAAATGTCCGTACCTAAATATATTATAGTGAATTAGTGACAGATAAGAAAATATGTAAAAAATAAGTGTACCAAAATTCCGTACCTAATTATATGATACTAAACTAGTGTACCGAAATATCAGTACCTAAATATATTATACTAAACTAATGTACCGAAATGTCCGTACCTAAACATATTATACTAACCCATTGTACCGAAATGTTTGTATCTAAATACATTTTTATGAATTAGTGATAGATAATAAAATATGCAAAAACATCATAAGTGTACCGAAAAATATTTTCTTATATAAGATGCCTACCATAATGAGAATTAAAATTTATAATATTTTCAAAAATTTTAAATATATAAAATTATAAATAAAAAAAGAAACATTGAATACATATGCTGCATTAAATAGAGTCTAGGGACTAAAATTAATTTTTAATCTTGTATAAGATATTTTTTTAAACTTCATTTTATTTAGGGATTAAAATCTAGTTTTCTAATTGAAAAAATAATGGATAAATAATTTCCCAGAAATTTTGTTGCATTGGATTGGGTTTGGATTGTAATTCTGGGACTTAGTGGTCGGTAGAAATCCCAACAACTTCACGGAAACGAGAGATGGGAATATAATACCATCCAAATTGGTTAGGGTTTGTCTGTTTGGTGGGTTTAGTTTAGTGCCAGTCCGACGCAATGCGCGCATGTGAAAATTAAATAATAGTAAGTAAACCGGCACATTCTGTTTTTTGTGTAGCAGAATACATTCTAAAATAGCAAACGTAATCATACAATTGACCATCGACCAGATAAAAAAAAAAATTATCATACAATTGACTAAACCGACAACATTTTTGTTTTTTTTTTTTTTTTTTTTTTTGGAAAGAAGATGAAATTTTATTAGCAACTCCACAAACTTACACAACAAAGACCCAAAGACAAATAAGCACATGTAAAAATGGACCTGCCAAGCTAACAAAAAAAGGAGTCCAAACCATGAACAAACCAGAAGAAACCCGAGAAGTGTATTACCACCGCCTCCGCAAAAGTGCATCTCGACCAGCCAAGCAGCGCCACGCCGATCGTATCATCCTGCTGCGAGCAACTCTCCGTTTGCAGCCACAAAGTGAAACATGCATGTGGGAGTCCACGAGCAACGCTGCCAACAAAGATAGACAGGAAGAAAATGGTGGTGTTATGAACACTAAGTCGGTAGGAACACCGGAACTCTATACATCCTTTGGATGTGCAACGACAAATTGCGGTAAAGACTGACTGCACATCGAAGTGGATATGGTCTAGGAGAAGGGACGCCGATGGGGTGTAAAGAACAAGGCAAATCAGAATGGAGAGCAAGGGAAAAACAGCATAAGGAAAGAAGGGAGAAAGCAAAGAGAAAAAGAAAGGGACCGCCACCGCGACCTCAGCCGTAGCTAGGGTTGGCGGCTGTAGAATTAAAAACACCCACGCAATAGGTGAAAAGAGCTCTCAGGTAAAGAGAAAGTCTCTCACAGGGAGGAAAAAATATGAGGATGACAACTGTTTCTTTGTAAAGCTGGAAACTGTTTTTTCATAAATTTTCGAAGAAACAGTTGTTGGTTTCACCAAACTTCAACTTATTTATGATATTGTCATCATCTAAATTTCAACTTGAATCACTATTCATCGGTAAAACAAATCAGACTCATTTGACTCTGAAAACAAAACACTTACAAAGCTTCAAAAACCCCTAATTCGTTCTGCTACAATGAAATGTACTGATAGTAAGTACGTATGTAGTATATCTTTTCACTATGGTTTCGTAGATGATCAATTTATATACAATTACATTGTGCTTCCGATCAATTCGCTAAACACGTATTATTGCTTAACAAGTTTTGACATCCTTCTAGATAATAACAACACTGGTTAATGGACACAACGAGTACATAACACCCTCTAACTCGTCTCAATTTGATAATTTTTAGAGTAATGATATTCATACCATGTTTTTGTACCACATTTTCATACCATTTTAGGTGGCATTTAATGTGGACATTCACATTATTTGAATTAATCAGATTTTTAAATTTAGTTCATTATTTAATAAACTAATAGTCAAGAAAAACTAGTTAATTAAATGATTATTGTGGTATACGAGGAGTCTTTCTCCTTCATTTCCTTGGGTTTTACAAAATTTTCAAATGATATAGTTCTCCACATCAGATGCCACCTAAGATGGTATAAAAATGTGATATAAAAATATGGTATGAATATTATTACTCTAATTTTTAAAACTCAACACTATCGCGTGACATAATTTAACTCCTTGAAGTTGGACTTTTTAAAGTAGAATCTCAAGTTGGGCTACAATTTCCAGTGGGCCTCATCATAGTCCACCGCAATTCAGCTGAAAATTTCTTTTATTTTTCCTTTTTTCTTTTAAACTTTAAACCCTAGGAGGAGGAGGACCGTTAAATCTTAAGCCCCTAATTTAAACACTCACCCCGTGATGTTGCGACAGAGGTATATGTTTCAACCAGTCATTTATAAGTGTATAGAGAGCAATAAGTCTAGTCTGTCTGTAATAAAAGAAGTAGCGTTATGCGCAAATCGTGTATTTTCATGTTTTTTTTTCTTCTGGAATGTGAATTTCTTTTAAACAAAAAGGAAATGAATTGAATTTTCTCGTAAATGTAGGAGTGATTGTGAAGTCTTTGGCCTTTGTCAGGTGCCTGCGAGCTACGTGGGTTTGGATTTCCAGACTCAAGCTCTGCAACATGGTAAAATTGATATTTCTTGGGATGAGGATGAGCCTGGACGCAAGACCTTGAAACGGAAATTCACTGATGATCAGGTTAGGATAACTTATCTAAGTGAACATTGCTTGCAATTTACGTCATTTGTTAATAGAGTTCATATCTAGCTCCATGCATTCTTCTCTTTCATTATTGAGGACTGAATGGGCACTCTGTCGCATTGATCTGAATAAACAATGGAAATCAACTATAAACTTATGTTAAAAAAAACCTAACTTCTTGTACTGTTTGCTTCTAGCTAATTTGACGTTGGTTTACCTGTAGCTTTCTGAATTGGAACTGAAGGAGTATTTGGCTTCTGATGAGAGTGAAAGTGATTGGGAGGAGAATGACGATGCTGCAGAGGACAAGACCGATAAAAAGAGTAAAAAATGAGATATGTACCGTGCGTTACTCCTGTCTGGAGATGGAGAAGGGGAAGGAGATGGAGATGCATCAGAAGGAGACGGTGCAGACAATGACCAGGATATGGAGATCACTTTTAATACTGGCGTAGAAGATATAAGCAAGCGCATCCTAGAAAAGAAAGATAAGGGATCAGAAACAGTTTGGGAGTCCTATCTCAGAAAAAGACGTGAGAAAAGGAAGAATAGGAAAAATAAATCGGAGGACTCATCAGAGGATGAGGGTAGTGACACTGATCAAGAGGCAGCAGAGGGACCAGATGATTTCTTTATGGAAGAGCCTTCAGTCAAAAAAACTAAAAAAGTATCCCAAGGTAAAAGTAAAAAGGATGAAAAGCAACAGCAAGATGATAGGGAAGCAGAAGCAAGCAGAAATGAGCTCGAGCTATTACTTGCTGATGACAATGGAGCAGATGCAGGGCCAAAGGGCTACAATTTGAAACGTAAAAAGACCAAGGGAAAGAAGGGTACAGAGGTTCTAGAAGAGGATAAATTACCAACCGTTGACTTTGAAGATCCACGGTTTTCAGCACTCTTCACCTCACCACGCTTTGCTCTGGATCGACAGATCCGCAGTTCAAGAGGTATCTCCCTCGAGTTTTTACTTGCTATCACAAGTATTTGCCCTAACATGTGCTACTTAATTAATAGGCTGCAACTGTTTAGTTATATGTATTTGTTGTGGTTTGGTGTTTGCAGGAGTGCAGCTTATGCTCGGCAGGTAGCACTGAGACAGTCAGAGGGTGGCCGAGAAGAAGTGCCAGAAAAGGAAATGAAATCCGATGTTTCACCATCAAAGATAGATAAATCATCATTAATTAAATCGATCATGATGAAGTCCCAGACCTTCCAAGGTACGACGCCAAACAAGAAGAAAATTTGAAGTCCAAAGGGAAAAAGGAAAGGAGAGACAAGCAGGAGGCCCCAAGGTTGGCCCAACCGGCGAAGAAACAGAAAAAGACCAAAGTTTAACAAGACTGAAAGCGTTGTTAACTTGAGATGAGTCTGTTCGACATCTTCAACTCCGTGATAGTTAGCTGCACTTGATTGAATTGTTGTCGAAGATTTTGTCATTCGGAAGAGAAAAAGAGAAATTATGAAGAATTGAAGATAACGTAAGTTTTGGCTCGTATTCTGTTTTTATAAGATTAAAATTGCATGGGAAATTTGCTTTTCTTATATTTATCCATATTTTCATATATGATAATGATTCGGTGCTAATTAGTTAGTAATTTAATATAATATGACTTACTTTTTTGAGCTTGTTTTACAATACTTTATAATTTGTACTGATTTTTTTTTTTTTTTTTATTATTGAACCTTGAAAGTTGAAAGAGCTTTTTTTTTTAATTTATTTTATTTTTAAATTCTCTCAATTCGGAATGCTTTGAGTTACAACACTCAATTTAGATGAATTTTTGAAGTGATGGTCGTGAAATGGACCAACTGAAGGGTTTAAAGCCGTATTAAATTACTAGTCCGCACTTAAAATAACTCTTGAAAATGATTAGTATAAAGAGAAACCAAAAAAAAAAAACATGTATTACTGTAACCAACAAATAATATATTTAGTATCTGTGGTCATATTTAAAATCATATGTACAATCCCATGTGCTAATAATATATTGATGACAATTTATTGCAGTGACAGAAATCAATGATGCCTATGCACCGCCTCCCAATTTAACCCACAAATAGAACGTCAACAACTTCCGAATCGCTGTGTATATTCTACCTCCAAAACAAATGCCTATCAATTATAGATATGTTACAGTAAGGCAAAGAATGATCAAACAAGGGTGAAAAGTACGAAAAGAACGATGGTGATTGCAAAAGCGATGGAGTTCTTCAATTTGGGTGAATAAGTTGATGCCGGTATGCTAGAAGTATTGCTACTCCCTGCTGTGGCTTCCGGGTTGAAGTTTGTTGGGGATGCAGTCGGAGACGGGGATGGGGATGTGGCCGGAGATTTCGATGGGCTGATAGGAAGAGTGATGGTCTCCTCATCGCTGTAACCTGAAAAGAAAAATGTTTCGTTATTGTCACTGAAGAAGATAATGAGGAAAACGTTGTCCATATTTGATTTGAAATGGTGTAATTAGGACTCACAATTCGATTCCTTCCAACCCAATACCATCTTCTCACGGTCAAAAATTACGCGATAACCCGTCATGAAGTTTTCTGCAGGAATAAATCAATGTTGTAAGCAACGGTTGAAGCAAACATGTACAAGTTCATTTGAATGCCAGTGATGGTTAAGGGGGTTTAAGGGCTTTAACCATTCGTTACGAAGGTTTTATGAAATCTGATTTGAAAATCAACTATTACATGATCTTGAATGCCAGTTTGCAAGATAATGACAGATATTTAGAAAGAGATACTCACGTCCAATGATGTTAACATCTCCACTTTTGACGAGACCCAGGCAATAGAACAATGTCAATTCATCCTGGAGATTGGAATGGTAAAGTTTAGCATGACATGATGAAGGAGCAGGATATATAAGAAATACGAAAAGTGGCAACTTACCGAAGAATTGGATACAGTTACTAGTGGATCGAGGATAGAATACTGCTTTCCACCTTTCATTGTCAGGTTCACCGTTTGATTTGGACTGCACACAAAGTTAAGTCAGTGCCTGAAGGCTCAGAAAGAGAAAGTTGCTACAAAGTTTTATGTTCTGAAAGAAATTACCTTATGTCATAACAATATTCAAAAGGAATATCTGAATCCTTTGGACGCCGACTATTTTTTAGCACAGAGTTAAACTGAAAAATGACACAGTTACAAAGACTATACAATAAAGAAGATACAAAAAGATAATATTATGAACAACTGAATTTGAACTACTTACGCTCTCAGTAATCTGCGTGTAAGCTGGATCATTTAGGTATGTAAATGAGGTACCAGAGTCAAAAATTGCATAGAATTCGAGATCAGTAACACTTTTTCCGATGGCTATTTGAGTGATAGTAATGTTGTAAGTTGGACTGGCAACAAGTTCGAACAGGAAAAGATTAGTACAACTGGGATGATATCAAAGCCCGAACTAGTTAACTTGCGAAACTTGTAAACTTGTCATCAGTACATGGTTATTTAGAGGGAGCTCTTACTATGAATGGCTATGACGATTGAATGGTGTTTCTGCTTGGCCTTGGCTTCCATTATCACCAAATCTGATTCTCCCAATCCCGTCCAGTCCAAAACACATGGAAAAAGAATTCAAAGCAAGCCCCTGTCCCGCTAAAATGCTAGGAATGGATACGTCTTCCATACCAAGCCCTAACAGACCATTGGGAGCTGCACCGTCCAAAAATATACCAGTCTGCACCTTACCACAACTGCAATAGAGTAGCACACAAACATCACAAGTGTGCTAACCAAATAAAATTGGCATGTTTAGACTTCGAATTACTACCCTATATTTTTTTGTGGCAAAGCAGTAAAAAAATTACCCACCCAAAGGCAATCCGTGCAGGTACATCTTTTTGTTGAGCATCATCAGTAGACAGGTGCAAAACATCCTCTACCAGGACCCCAGTAGATGAGGTGCCATTAGACAGATACTCAATCCTGTAATGACAATCACGACTTGGTGAAGTACAGCTTTGCCGTTGTGAACAAAACGTGTTGTTGCAAGAAATCCTTTTGCTTGTAGATGAATTCTTAGGGCTGTAGATTTCAAATTCTACTACCTGGTTGATAGAAGAGCTCAAGAGTTAATTGTCAATAAAATCAATACAATAAGAGCATCTTCCCTATGGATCCACATAGGGACCAAAAGCACTAGCAATGTTAGTCCATCCTTCTAACACTATGCCTGGTAGATAGTTTTAGAAACCGCAAGATGCAAATCAGTATTTTGAAGAATAACACTACAAATTAACGATGCAACCTGAAGCGTTCGAGAAAACAATGCTATTTTGTTGCCCAAGAAACATTCACCCTAAAGACACGCCAGTACTCAATCAACTCAACACCGACGATGATAAAGTTACATGCTTGAATCGAGTTTTAGTCCCTTATTCCCAGAGCAAATTTCACAAACTAATGGAAGTTATCACAAACCAACATAACTGCGAAGTCAACTCGAGGCAATGACCAGTCAAAGTACTCCAAGCAACATAATTTTGAAGTAAAAATGCATCAAATTCACAAATCGTGTAAAATTCAAGAAAAGGCAAACAAAAATAATTGTAATTCAGATTCAGTTCACATACATCTCCATTCGAAAACTTGATGCCGTGGACGCAGCTGCTGCAATCACATGGCAACCAAAGCAAATCGCTGCCCGTGTCCAACGCCACAAGATATGATGTGGTCGGCGTCCCAACAGATACATTTGCATAATGCAGACTGAAATTTCAACCCAAAAAACAAAAATTCAAACACTTTATGTACAATTTTCTTCTGAGGAATCAAATATATGGGTTTTGTGCAAAGAGGAAAACAAATTTGTGGGTTTATTTATTTATTTTTTTGTAAAATATTCAGGACCGCAGGAAAAATTCAACAATTTAAATTATAAAAATAAAAAAACCATATGAATTTAAACACCAAAAAATATGGACTTTAAGGGGAATAATGGGTGAAAAGTGCTTACTGTCCAAAAGCACCAATCCGATAAGTGATGTTTCCGTATTCAAAAGCAAGCGGCGTCGTTTGATTGTCGGCGGTGGATAGATGGCGGCCGCGAACCAATCGGTCTCGGTGGGCCATAGCAGCGTAGTACCCGGAGCTCCCCTTCTCCGGCAGCTCATCGGAACCGAGAATTGCCTTGACGGGATCCGAGAACCGGTGGTGGATATCGAACCCGTACGACCCGAGTCCGAAACAGGTCCGACAAGCCAAACCCGATACGAAGAAAAACAATAAGAGACGAGCTGCGGAGAAGCTGGAAGAAGCTGTGCAAGTCCAGGCCGCCATGGCTGAGACGATTCTAGAGAGAGCAACAGAGGTTTTGGTGAATTGGGTTGGGAGGCATGAGTGGGAAACAGAGATATGAAATGGGTTTATACTGGGTGGACGGCGATGCGTTGACACAGACCCAATGACCCAAGCCAGCAGCTGACAGGGGAGAGAGAGAGATAGGGAGAGACAAAGGCTTGGGTGGTTTTTTCAGTTTGGTCAGTGTTAGACGAAATCGCGGGTTTGTGGGGTCCGTTCTTTTACACAAATTCTTGGAAACTTTGGGAAGTTGGGATGATAATATTCGCCATGAATAACCACTTGATTTTCGTAATTATGGATCATGATCCAAGGTATTTCTCAATTTAATATATTTTTTTAACAAACAAAATTATTTATAATAAAATGGCAGGATGGTGGACTAAGTCTCAGAATGATCTAGAAATAACATGGCTCAAATTCGTCTATGGTGAAAACTGAAGCTAATACATCTAACTTACAAATGAAAAATAATACCACTAGATTGTAACACTAAGTAGCTTTATTTAATATACGTAGCACATTTTCATAATGTTGGCAAGAAAAACAGGCAAAAAACACGAGTTGTCAGAGAGTCCATGAAGAGTTTTTTTTATTTTTATTTTTTAATAGTCTCATTAGCATTTCTCTAATTGCCAGAGCCCTCCCTCCTAAAGATTCTACTTATCCAAAGTTTGGTATTTTCTACCGTGTATTTAGGATGCTTAACTAAGTTAACTATAGTAGTATGCTCAATTTCGTGCATTGAAATTTAAGTTACTTTTCAGTAATTTGGATTAAATTAACATACCATCCGATAAAAAAGAAGTTTAGATTTTTTGCATGTATTTATTGAGTGAACCTTGGGTTTATACATACCATAAAAATATTAGGAGAAATTGCATGTCTTTAGTCTAAAAATATTAGGAGAAATGCAAATTGTTTGACTAAAATACTTTGACATAACGAATCAAATAAACAAAAGTATGATGGAAAATTATAGAATCATTTCGCACTTCGTTTTCTCGCTCTATACATCTTTTTTATTTTTTATTTTTGAATTGAATAAGTTCAAAAGTTCAAGGATTTGAATGATATCCTTTCATTGAGTCCTAATTGCATTGATTTGTCCTAAAGAAAATAAAATGAAGGAACCTAAATTAACAGGTGTGAAAAAAAATGAGTTGGGGGAATGAATGAATAACATGAAAGTTGAGGGGCGATTAGACAAGAGAGAGAAATTTGAGGGTGTGAATGGGAAGGTAAACTGATTAAGAGGTCGGTTGGGTAAAGACAGACATCACATTACCAAAAAGATTAATAATCTCTACTAACTAATAAAACACTTATTGTCAACTAAAATTCTATAAAATTACCAGTTTAACCCTCTAATTAAAACAGAACATAGATAAGAAATATGGGTTAGAATGTAATTTCATACAATCAAATTTTGCTGTTTTTTTTTTCAAAGCCTCACATACATGTAATCCTAACATATCTCTAATTAAAAATAAAAATAAAATAAAATAATAAAAAAAAACTTCTAACTCCCACAATCTCTATCGCTCTCTTCCTCTCTCGTTCTATTTCAAAAACAAAAATAAAAAATTTTCTTACACACTTTATGTGTGCCTATATGCTAATAATAATAATAATAGTATAAAAAATATAAGCAAAAAGATATTGACTTTGAAGTCATAATTTGAAAGCTCATTCAATCACACGCCATTACGAAGCCACGTGTCGAAAATCAAGGCTTTGAAACATTGACTAAACCATTTATAGGTTGCCTTAATTCCTACTTTATTTTAAATTATTGGATCAATGACTCAAACCAAACGTTTGTCCAAGCTAATATGTTGCTAGTTTTATAGAAAATATTGGAATTAATGATTTTATATCTAACCACTTTGGATATTTAACTATCACTAACACAATTTCTCTTTCTTATTATTGTAAAATTTAGTATAATCAAGTCGGACAGAATAATATATATATATATATATTTTTGTGCAAAGTTCAAAGCTAATAAGACAAATATGCAACGATATCATCAAACCTTGCAAGATAGTCCTCAAAAGGAAGAAAATCCGATGAAGAAAAAAAATTGCACACTATGTGACAAAACTACAAGCAAAAACCAACAACACAAAGCAAAATTAACCATTCCCCACATCATCGATGGGATTAACCAAACTAGCTCCTCCTCAATCAAAGCAGGAACTCATTTGATGTAAGTGCAAACGTCACGTAAAAAAACCATGAAACTTCTGCATAAAATCATCTCTTTCACAATAGTCTCATTTTCCCCATTTCACTAATCTAACATGAAGATAAATTGCTTCTTTAGCATCTAATTCAAGAAGAACATTTTTGAAAAGCATAGTTTAAATGTACTTCTCCCCACTTGTAGGTACGAGATTTTAAATTCGACTCTCGATCGTTAGGAGGTAAGTTTTGTAAAGACTCATTTGCATAGAGCTTTCGTATGAATGCCATGAAAAACGGGGGCAATTAAGCCGCAGAAGGTGCTTGGAACTTTCCTCCTCTAGAATTCTAGCATGCAAGTCGCCAATAAAATATGACCACATTGACAATTTCACACCAATCTAACAAAGCCAAGAGAAGATTTGAGAAAGTAGGAAAAGCATAGCATTGCAAACTTGACCTAGCAAATGGCTTTAGACCGACCTTTCACCATCTCCTCAAACGAAATTTCAATTTCATCTGTGTCCAATTGACACCTCAACTAAAACATATGGATGATACAAAAAGGACACCTCAACCAAAACATATGGATGATACAAAAAGGAATCAGGTGCATTTTTGCTCATCAGCTTCAAGTGATGGTAATGCTCACAACCTTGTTTATTATCATTAAATGAGTTTAAATTTGAAATTTGTGTCTATCCGCTACTTGCATTTAGAAATTTGCGCAACAACTGTGCAAATTATTTGATGCTTCATCTCACGAATTGGATTTGAACTCATCCAACGATAATAAATAGGATGATGAGCACTACCAAGCACTTGAGGGCATTGAGCAAAAATATTATCAAAGGAACAAGATAGATAAAAAGTTATGACTTGCTTTTTCTCAAAAGCTTGAATGGAGACATATGACTCAAATCTTTTACCATCAATCACACTCCTAATCTTTATTCATCCACCCCACTCAAAAATAAAGTTTAAACTAATCATCCATGTGGTAAAAGAAACAATTGATCATACTCATTTGACGAAAACTTGTTGGCAACATCAGTCAGAATCGAGATTTTCGTTCAAAAGTTGCACGTGATGTGCACACACACAATAAAAGATAAAGAGACCTCTTTTTCTTGGTCAAATTTATATGAATCAATTTTTTCACCACCAATCACTCCTATTATTTGCCCTCGGCCAATTCTTATTCAAAGATAAAGTTTTTATGTGACCAAGTCAACCTATATAGCGTTATGCAGGTCTATGAGTTGTGCCTCAGTCCAATTATTTTTTATTTTTTTTATTAATTACAACCTCTTTTACTTTGCCCTGGCAATCGGAACTAATTACCTTTTTTTTTCTAATGGCACAAGCATGCACGCACAAGATTCCAACAACTGCATCTAAAATAAAGCTTTTCCAATCCACCAGTGCATGATAGACTACGGCGGGACTTTGTCGGAGTTCCTGAGTTCAAATCTCATAAACGATAATTGTTGATAAAGTAAGCCGGAGATCCTGCCCTGGGATTTTGGGAACTGTAAATTCACATTCTATCTACAATATTGCAATTTTATAAGGTGACTGAAACATGTGCAGTATAACTGTCTATTCAACGAACTGGATCTCTTGAACTCTGTAAAATATTCAGATACAACAATAATGTGCAAATGCCTATGCTACATGAGGAAGGGCTAAACAATATGGGGGGAATCGATCTTGGCATGCTCAAGATTATCCCAATCGTAGCGTAAAGTGGGACGGATTAGAGAGGATTTAAATCTAATATATGGTAAGAGGACATTATCTAAATCGGTTTACACTATGGAAGTGTAACTGACCAGAAAAAAAGACGGCCGCGTACCAGCTACAGTAGTAGGAAAAGGAGCATGACAAAATAAATCAGAGAAGAATGGCTATGGTAAGGCAGAGATGCAACTGAAGCCTGTCTATTCCTGGCCTTTTTCGTTGATTCCGGATTAGAATGGTTACCAAGCCCAGCAGCAACAGCTGGAGGCACAGTGCTAGAGTGTGGTTCAGAAGGTAAGTTAGTATGGTCCTCGACGTCGTAACCTGCATTAAGGTCCAAAAATTCGGTTATGCAATAAGGCATTGCGAAAAGCTGAGTGCATAAACGGGATTAACACCTACAGTCAAACTTCTTCCAGCCCAAAACGAATTTTTCTCGGTCAAACACAACATGGTAGCCAGTCATGAAGTTTTCTGCACAAAGAGCAACAACTTAAGCATAAGCCAACATGTAACAGCAAAACAAAAGCCACTAGGACACTTATATTAGAGTTGACTGTTGATCCGAGAGAAAGAAAGTTGCAGTAGCTGATTTGTGCCCAACAACTGAGCAATGGTCAACTAGGAATGAGCTTTCATAGCCAAAAGAATTTAAATGACCTGTAAATTTAAAGACTTGCTTTCATAGCCAAAAGAATTCAAATGACCTGTAAATTCAAAGACTTACGCCCAATTATATTTAGTTCCGCACTCTTGACAATGGCCAGGCAATATAACAGCTCACTCTGCAAATCATTTGCACGGAAGATAATAACCATTCTCAGGAAACGACAAATAACACCAGGGAAAGAAAAAAAAAAAAGAACAAAGCAATACCTGGGTGGATATGATAATGATCGGATCATAGACTGGAAACTGGCTTCCACCTTTCATGGTTAAACTGAGACTAGGTATCAAACTAGTATTTGCATCAGGACTGCACAATGAAAGAAAGAACTTCTTGTGAATAATAGAAAAAGAATTTGAAGTTGGAAGTACGGCTAAAAGAAAATACAGAAGAAAAAAAAAAGTTTATGTAAACCTCATATCATAACAATATTCAAATGGGATCCTCGAATCAGGTGGGCGACGCTTATCTCGAGCCTGTGAATTGAACTGCAAAAGTCATAAAGCATCAATTACTTAGTTGTGTTTAAGTACAAATTGATGTTCTATTGTTCAACATACTGATATTAACTAGAAGACTTAATGCTTACACTCTCTGAAAGATTTGAATAAGATGGGTCACCCAAGTATGTGAAAGATGTTCCAGAATCAAAAATAGCTGTGAATTCGATGTCTACAAGATCTGTCCCCAATCGAATTTGAGTTACGGTGATGTTATACGTTGGACTGTGATATGCATCAGAGCATATAAATATTAAAACCTCTTTTCATGAAAATATCTCGTAAAAAATCAATTTCAAGTATCTGAGAAGTTACCACTTACTGTGATGGGTTGTAATTAAAAGGGGTCTCTTCCTGTCCTGGACTCCCCCTGTCACCGAAATTAATTCTCCCAACCCCATCATGTCCGAAACACATGGAAAAGGAATCTGATGTAAAGCCTTCCCGGGATAAAATACTAGGAACAGATATGTTTTGCATACCGAGCCCAAGCAACCCATTAGGAGCAGCAACATCCAGGAAAGAGCCGCTTTGCACCTGCCCACAACTGCACATTCACAATGCATTTTCAGCTGCATACATGAGACTTACAAGAAAGGGAACAGAAAGAAGTCCAAAGATCTCGATGACAGAACTAACCCAAAGGTAATGTATGCATCAACAAGTTTCCGATGATTATCTTCTGTTGTTAAGTGCAGAACATCCTCTACCAGTACCCCAGAGCTAGAAGTTTCAGCTGAGATATAAGAGACCGTGTAAGGGCAATTGTTGAATGTTCCTAGACAGCTATTACGGTGTGCACACAAAGTGCTGTTGCAACTGACTGTTTTGCTTGTTGACGACCCTTCAGGGTCATATTTGCTAACCTCAAAATCCTGCCATAGTAAATGAAACCTAATTACTAAAGTGCTAAAAGGAGAAGTAATAACAAATGAACTTATTAGAAAATTGATATCACAATTCTTGTCCCTCAAGCCCTACATAACAACATCTTAGTACTGGAAATCGACATTAAGGCCTACGCCTTTTTGCATTGACTAATTACAAAGTTTCGCATAATCTGCTAAACTTATAATTTAAATTTTCTCTGCCATCTCTAGGAAGTACTTGATTAAACAAATAAATACGTAGTATGCACTCGCTAACTATTTGATTAATCTCTTTTTTCCAAATGCCGGTGTGTGACCAGCCCAAATGCAAGTATACAAGTTTCATTCTTTTTTACAAAACTGACACTCTAACCAATAACATTTCAATTCCAAACCGCAATTGGGGCATAGGGTTTTAACAAATTGGAATAAAGAAAGAAAAAAAAATCCCAAAATTGCAACGTGATCAAGTGAGTGCAAACATACAGGAACGTAAGCTGTGCCCTCGCAAGGCACCCAAAGCAGATCACTCCCAGTGTCGAGCGCCACCAAAAACTTCACTCCCGGCGTTCCCAATTGCACTGTCGTGTAATGCAGACTGCACAAGTTAAATAATTAAAATTAAAATTAAAATCAGCAATTTAAATTAAACTCCAATTCAAGAATTTAATAAGAAATCGAAACTTGAGAAAAAGAAACGTACAATCCCAAGGAGCTGATTTTGAAAGTGGAGTTGCCGCCAGAGAAAGCCAGCGGAGTGGTGCCGCCGCCCCTCTGTGCGAGGTTGCGGCCACGGAGGAAGCGATCGCGGTGGGCCAATTCAGCGTAGTACTCGAAGCTTCCCTTCGCCGGGAGATTTTCGGCCGGCGTGAGTTTTCCGGCGGCGGCGGACCACTTCTTCACGGGGTCGGAGAAGCGGTGGTGCATCTTGAAGCTGAAGATGCGGCCGTGGCAGCTCCCGAGGCCCAAGATCGAGAGAAGGAAGACGAGGAAGACAACGAACTTACAGTGATCGGAAAAAAACATTTCCGTTCGATGATCTTTTCTGAAACCCTAGACAGATTTGCATTGGGGAAAGAGACGATGAAATTCGATTGAATCCGAATACAGTGGAAGAAGAAGAGTGTGGATTTTGCAGGCGGGACCCACTGGAAGTCTTGATCATTACAGTGTGACTCACTGCGTTGCGCGCACTTTTCTCCTCACCTGAGGAGCTTTTCAACGGTCACGCGGTTTCTTGGAGGGAGCGATACCATAACAATATTTTTGGAAGACAGGAAATTAAATGTATAAATAAAATTTTATAAATTAAATGATATAAAAATGATATTTGGATTATTACTTAAACGTTTATAAATTGCTAATCTAAAACTACATTAATAAAGCTCTTTGTCAATCAAATTAGAATAAAAAGATAATTTTATCTTCTACCAAAAAATAAAATCATAGGTAATAAATTAAATTCACACAAACTAAATTTTACAGTTTTTTTTTTAACCTCCCTCAAAAGTGAGCATAACATCCTTTAATTTTGAAAAAAAAAATTCTCTCTCTAATTCACTTTCCTTTTTTCTCCCCTTCTCCTTCCCATTTTAAAATAAAAATAAAAATTATTTTCGCACACAAAGTGTGGGCCATATGCTAGTTTTCAATTAGTGACACATCACTTGATTTGCAAATATTATTTATAAATTTAATTTTTTTAGCATTACTCTTATTTTTATAGCTACACTCGGTATCCCAATTGATCTATTACACTATAATACTCTATATTGTCTCACTTTTATATTCGAACCATTTTCCAGTGTCGTACCTTATCCTATTTTGTCAATAAGTTAAAAGAGCCATTAATTATGCTGACGTGACATAAATAATTTAATCTTTTTAACTATGTTAATGGGTTAAATCCTTGTAAAAGATGGGTAAACTTTGAAATTGACACACAAATCCTAATATTCAACCTTCCATTCTTCTTTTTTGCTCTTGGTCGTGAGAAATCAAACTCTAATTTGAGTCCAACCCACCTCTCATTACCCATGGTACCACTAACGTAACATGTCATATGTCACACAGCCAACTTAGTTTTAAAATCACTAAATTATTCATGCCACGTTAGCACATTTAACAAGTCTTTAACTTATTTGATGGAATATGTTAAAGCAGGAATTGGAGAAATAGTGTAAGTGGGAAAGTGTGACAATATAGAGTCTAAAGGTAAAGTGGACACAGTGGACGAGTACATGTGGTAAAGTGAGAATATAAAATGTAGAGGATAAAATAAGATTTAAGGAAGAGTACATGTGTCGTAATTAAAAATAAACCTTAAAAAAACATATTGAAATTGCTTGTGAAAGAAGTATCTAGTATGTGTTTGTCCATAAAACGCTTTTATAATTTGAAAACACTTCGAATTTTTGTGTGAAACGTAGTTAAAACTTAAAAGTGTTGTTAGTTAACAAAAATCGCTTTTACTTCGAACCACCATATAAAATCATTTTTTTAACACCAAAAGATGGTACATTCAAACATACATACATATACATACATACATACATACATACATACATACATACATATATATATATATATATAACTTGAATATTTTGGGAACCATGTACATCGTCAACTAACATGAAGAAAAGATTGAAAGTAGATGCCTTTATTATTATCAAAATCATATATACAAGACAAATTTGGGGTAATCATCTCATAATATCTACAATTTGATACTCACAAATTAAACTCTAACAAATTACAAGCTTATACAAAATTAACACACTACAAAAAAGGAACCCTGAAAGCTTTCAGGACACAATCGTCCAATTCTTCCAAGAAATTGGGGACACAATTTTTCTGAGGATATATCACACTGGAGAGGCAGAGGTCGTACTTAAACCAAATTTATCTGAGAGCTTTGTTCTTGAAAATGGAGAGAGAAGCTCCATCTGATGGAGGAACTGCACATCATGAACCAAAGGGTTGTGTGTTCTTCCTGGTGGAGAGCCTGAGTAGCATGCCGGTGAGCATTTCGTGCACACATATTCTCTTCCATGAAATATTTCCTGCACAATTTCAATTCGAAAAACACGAGAAGATACTCATTTGGTCACGAACGAAATTATGGGTTCAAATTTAGGGCTTGCTTGGGGTTGGTTTATTTAAGAAGCACTTTTGTTATAAGAGTTTTTTTTTTTAAAGATGCGCTTTTATTAAAAATGCGTTGAAATTTTTATTAAAATTTTGTGCTTTTTGAAAAGAAAAAAAACACCTGAAAGTACTTCCTAATAATAGTTCTTTTTTCAGAAAATGTTTTTGAAGCCCCAAAAGTACTTCTAAATTTTTCGGTCCAGTGCTAACAAAAACATTTTTAACCTTTTAAAAAGCACCCTCAAATAGACGAAGTACGAACGACAACAGTTGAAAAAGCAAAATTAAAATAAAGGGGCATGAATGCTAACCTTTTCACTGATCATATTCAGAACCCCACTTCTCTCATCGGAAATTTTTTGGCTGGTCACAAAAAATAAACACAAGAGCTGCATAAGTTGGTATTTACATCTTCAAAACACATGAATTTAAGTAGGTAGTGATTTTCGAACTCTCATGTTTTCTCTATCTGAACTCCTCTCTTTGTTTTCACCCTTAATTTATTAAATCCAAAAGCTAAAACAAGAGTGCATGGAAGAAAAGAGAGTGCGAAAATCACTACCATTTTAAATTGGCCCAAAAGAAAAACAAGAAAACCCTAATGAAACCTGTGATTGTTACATCTTATAGGGTTGAGGAATTCAGGCATGGCAGGGCCAACTCTTCGAGGCTTAGGGCAAAGAGGCTGGGCATTGCCGGCAGAGTTTGCCTGTGCAGCAGAACCAGAACCCAGAAGAAGATTGCTGCATTTCTTCACACCTAATTGGTGCATAGTTTTTTTCAACAAAAAACAAAACAAACAAGAAGAAGGAAGAAAGAAAATCAAAGTCACAAGTAGAAGAAAAGGAAACGATTAACTTGTGACTGCAAAACTTTCAACTGTTGCCTTATTTACTTACCCTCATTGAAATGGTAATTAATATATAAGAATCTGCCCCTTTTATTTAAATATTAGCCACACATTTAAGACACAGAGAGAGAGGAGAGAGAAAGAGAGGGAGAGATAGATGAGTGAGAAACTAGTGAGAAGTGGAACCACATTTTGTTTGGAGACTTTGTTCAACCGTGCAAGTATAGGAGGAGTGGAGGCTTGGCCAAGAGTGGAGTTAGGGTAAGTCTTGGCTTTTGATCTCCTAATATTCCTCTATTTCCCTTCTTTCTCTACGGTTTTTTTGCTGCTCTATCCCCATAATATTGAACCATTCTTTTTCTCATCCAATTTTTATCATCATATCAATATTATCTAGAACCCTTTCAGGCAAAACTCCATGAAGTTTTGGAGTCCATCTTATCCCTACGGTCGTTTCCCGACTTTCAGCTTTGATGGGCTAAAGTTAGATTATCGTCGTGAGTTTGTTTTGAAGTTCCTTTTTTTCTCATTAAAAAATAATAATAAAATAAGTTGTAACAAAATCACAATGACAATCAACGAAATTATGACAGCATCTTAAATCAATTATACAATGTCACGTGTTTTAATTTTCTCGAGTAGTACTGCGTTATTGATTTGTAATATCTACGATAGCGTACCGAGCCTAGGTAAGTCCTCACTCAAAAGAAGATCAATGGGACATGAATATCAGAGAGAATCCATTTTTTCTTCACAGAAGTGGCAATATGGACAATAATTACTGTGCAAGGTTACATGTCAACCAATGGTGAAACATGAATAATATGTATCCCAATCAAATCTGGGCTGTGAATACACCTCATAGTCAATAGGCCCATCAACAACAGTGTCTACAGTTTGTATGCCTTCCAAAAGAGCTGGATGAAGACTATCATTCTGGGAAGGCAGCAATTTATACATTACTAGTACCCCAAGTGTAAATATAGCTTGCAGCTTCGTTGAGTCTCCATGGACCGAAAAGAACAGCAGCATTGCAAGAAGGAACAGATCGACACAAAAACGCATGATGCACAATACTGTATCCATCAACTTCCCATCATTCCCAGCAGGAAAGCCACGGACCCTATAGACAAAGAGGAAGTTGTACTTATCGACCACGTACCTATACCCAAAGTAAATAGCACCGACGGGAACCACAAGCGGAGAGAAGGAAGAATATATAAAGGTCAGGGCGAATATCGTCAAATTAAAGGCATAATATTGGGCAAAATCGAATGTCTGTTTTGGGGCTGTTGATGTTCTGTTGATTGGGTAATCAGAAAGATCATTTCCCTGCAGATCAATTCCATACGATCTGGGAGAATCGTAAGTGGTGTCCACAATCAAGGGCCTTTCTAGACTATCGGTTTCCTGAGTTTCCAATGCATATTCTTCACTTTGTTCCGGGACCAGCTGTAGCATGTCATTCTTTCGAAACTTCTGAATCTTCCTTTTTATCCAAGGGATTGGAGCCAATAGATCATAAGATATACCCAAGAATGTACTTGTTATCAAGAATGCAAGAGAGGAAAGACATGATCTTGACAAAAACGAGGCACTCATGTACTGCTCAATTCTCTTGCAATCTTCTCCATCCAAATAGCACCTTCCCATTTTTAATATGGCACTCTCTAAAGATGATTCAACCAGTCCCTTAAGAAGTATAAGATTCACCAGGAAGAAACAAACCATCTTAAGAAGAGCAGCTCTTTGCTCCCCTGACACTGTAAGGTGTCGCTCGAACTTGGAGAGATATGAAAGTGCTGATGGAATAACTATATACATGCTGACAAAAATAAACACATTGGGTAGAAACTGAAAGATAAGACTCCCGAGCCAGCTTGAGCTCTGCACCCAAGCAAACCACAACTGGGCGTTATCCATAGCTTCCGCATTTATAATCCGCCAGGCATTTTTTAGAGCACTGATAATTGCCAGAGGAGAGCTAAAGAACAGAAGAATCAACAGCAAGCACGTGTTCACCAACACTCTTCGCAATTTCAGTGAGAGCTTTGACGACCCCAAATGATTCCAATAAATATCTGTGGCCAAGGGTGCCTGCTCAACTTTCCATTGGTTTCTCTGTAAACGCAATTCCACAAGAGAAAAAAACTTCCCTATCCGCCTCTTCTTCTCATGTCGAAAGTCCTGAACAGCTTTATTAGCAGTGTACACATCCTTAAACACCACAAACGCAACTCCAGCACCCAGTGC